TGCAGGCATGCGGAACCGAATGCTGGAGTTGTACAAGGAATGTAATGTAAATCAAAGACCCAAGATAAAATATTCATAATTTGAATCTAAAGAAGTTTCAGAGTAGGCATTCGAGTCAAGAGATAGACCTAAGACCTGGTGAAAGTTGCAGGAATTCGCCGTAGCGCAAACACGTCATGGCGCGACTTGAGCGAGAGCTACATAAAGGGTTTCTCTATGCCGGGATAGCAGTATCTTGCACTATGTCGCTCTTCTTCAAGTCGCGCGCTGTTGTATTAGCGCTACTAGATACAAGCAAAGCAGGACCAGTCATTGTGATGGTCTTTTGGGAAGCCTAGGTCCAGCAGTGGAAGTCTTTTGTCTAAAATGATGATGATAATATATATGTAATAATTTTACATATAATCTGTTTCAGCTTGTAATAATTAATTAAAGAATTTAAACCATGTAAACTGTAAAGAACCCGAAACTGTTTAAAAAAATGTACACAATTTAGATCCGAATTTCATTTCAATTAAACAATAAAACTTCAGAGAAACTACAAATTGTTATACTTAAGGTGTCAATAACTTTAGGTATTTAGGGATCTTTGAAGTTAACTGTACCTTTGACACGCATGGAAGTAAATGAAATCTATTGGTTTATTATAAACAATACAAAATAATAATGAGAATATAACTTGTTTATATAACATCAGCATGAGAACCTGTAGTTTGGAACTTTGCGTTTTTCCCACTTCATTGTCTGTGTACCACAAACTGCCGTTCATTCCTTAGTCTTTTTAGTACCAATTACGCATGAACACATCTTCATTACTTTTAGTGTCAGTGAAAAATTATTTAACCTAATGGTTTGTTATTACTAAATTTTTAAGTCATCAAGGGTAAGTAAGAGGACACATATCGAAATGACAAATTCTATTCATTCATTTCTTCTATCGGTTGTAATAATCCACAGTTCACCCATGATTTTGAACCATGGACCCATGGTCATAAGTTTTGATCTTCAGAAATGTAGACGTACTAACAGTTGCGAGGCTTTGTATAGTAGTAATAATGAAAACCCCACTCAATTAGCTGTTGCCAATATTGCATTTAATGCAAAAAGCAATAAAAGTGGAAAAATTAAACTGAATACTACGGAATCGAAAGCTAGTAATAAAGAAATTTACAAAAATCAAACAATTGCAATTAACACTCGAGAAAATCAATCTGAAAAAAGATTTAATCTAGGAAGCGGTGCAAGCGATAATGATCATAACGTCAGTAATAATTCTGAAACAGTACAAGATATATTATTTAATGATACGAGAGAGCTTTCAAATGAAAATGTTAATAATTTTACCAAAGAGAATAACAACTTAACATACATAGAGAGCATAGAGAGACGAAATTGGTATATGAAATTCAAAAGTGTTAAAGATAGATTAATTGATGATAAAAATGAAACTATTAAATCAAGTAGTATGAAATGGAGTTTACAAGCTAATAATGATCGTGCTGAAAATCGGAAATCAAGTTTAAATATTGAAAATCAAACTAATTGTCATTCTAAAGTCTACTCAGACGTAATTGATAGCAATAAAGATGCCATAAACAAATTGAAAACCACGAAGTTATGCAAGAATGAGAACAGAATTAAAACCGGAGACAAGAAAAACGGGATAAATAAATTAGAAACGTTATTAAATTATTCCAAATCTGGTACTTATGGCAAGAACAATATTAGTAATATACAACGGAAAGCTACAGTCAACAAATATGTTGTTGATGCAGCTGAAAATGAAACAATTATTTCACTATCAAAAAAATGTAACGACAAAACTAATACGCATAACATTTCAAGTCAAATTAGTACGATAAATGGTACAAACATAAACGTTACCTATATCAAAACTTCAAACCAATCTAATAATCAACAAGTTATTAAGTTCAACGATAGCAATAGCAAATTTGCTGGTAATGTCAAAAATAATCAAATACTCAAGGGTATCAACATCAATGGCAATAAAAATAAGGATTCTAAATCTAATTATAATATGAAACAATCTACCGAAAGCAAAATTGCATATAATAATAAGACTACATGGAATCATACACGTGACTTGAATAAGAAAAGAAACGCAACAAATGACGCCCGCGATCGTTTCAGCAAAGAAAATGGATTTTTTAATATAAGCAATGATGACGGTGATTTTGAAAATAAAACTGATGCATTGGAATTTAATATTGACGTTAACGAAACAACCACTGAATTTAACGTAGATAAGTATTATAAAAATTTATATAATAAAATGGATGAAATAAGGAAATCTGCAATTGACAGTTTCATTGAATTAGACAAAGTGCCCAGATCGAAACAGAGTCAAAAGTTAGAAGCTTTACTTTCGCGTAAGGTAAGTTTACACTTCCAAAAATAGCACATGTTCTTTTTTCGATGATTGTGAGGCTTTGCAAAAATGTTAAGACGAGATATTCCCGCAACCCAAGCTGTGACAATTATTATGAATAAAATAAGAACAGGCGGAGAAAATTTGACACAGGTCGACTAACGGGGCAGAGGGCGGCGCGGCGTGTCGCTATACCGCTGGTTAATAATGGATAACTGCCATTATCACAGTTTTAGTATTATATCATATTTAAGATCTTTAGGTACCAATACATCTTTTCAATTTGTTTCGTGATTTTTAAGTAGTTACTTACGGAATAACAAAATAATACAATAAAATTCAAATTTTATAGCCATGCCCAAGTGCACAAGAATAAGGTTAATATGATAATATTAAACTAATCTTAATATGCCAAATGACAATAGAATTATGTTATCGTAAAAATAATTACGCGAAATAACGATACACGCAGTTATCATATTTTATTCCCGTTTGAAACTGTTCGGGCTGTCCATATAATAAAGCAAAAGTTGATTATCATATCATGGTTTCATTGTAGCAGCAGAATAAAAGACCTTTCCAAAAAAATATCTTACTATGTTTTCTCGTAAACAGTAAGATATTTTTTTGGAATTAAGATGATATGTAATTATTATCTTCGCCACTTGTACTATTGCAACCCGTAGAATAAAATGATAAACCAACGGTGCAATACTTACTTTGCGGCTCAGACACAACGAGTATTAATATATAAATGATGATTGATTTTTACTAATTATTTATTATTCAAATATCTCCATTTTGGCTTAACTTACGGCTCTTTCATTTATAATATAGAATGCACAAAAAATATTATTTCCTTAAAACTAACTATTAATCAACCTAAGTTCAATATTTAAGAACTTATCAATGAAAACATGTTTTTTATTTTTCCTGAAATATCACTTTGTTGCGATTATCATTTTGTTCTCCGGGGATAGCGATGTGGTCATCCACATCATCTTTTAAATTTTGAGCTACCCTCTCAAACGTCGTCTGCGCAACGGAAACACAATAGAAAACATGAAGAACACCCATGTTTTCACAAACTTTTTTATTTATACAAACACTTCTCTTGTACAATAAACGACAGATCTTTTAACAATGGCCTTGTTTACTATTGTATCACATTATATGAACTAATGAATATACTAACGTTTTTATTAAAACAATCTACGGAGATCATGTCAGATTGTAACAAGGAGGTTACAATGGCACAAGTCATCAGTTCGAATTTACGATTGGCCAACTATACACCGTCATGAAATCTAGCGTTTTTTTCATTGTGCTATTTTACATTGTGAGTAGAATTATTAATATTTATTTAAAAGAAAAAAAATTATGCGTTATTGGTATTATAAGGTTGTGCTTTTAAATGTGTTTTATGTGACATATTTATTATTCAAAAATAAGGGAAAGTATAGAAGTTAATTTTAAAATGTATTATAATCAAACTTTAAATTAGACGGTTATAGAGGCACTGCAGTGACGCCATTGTGGCGCCACAGCCGCCACAGCTATACCAACTAAGCACGACGAAATACTTAAGATTTCTCATAGATAGCGCTACGGCTAAAAAGTCGTTGAAAAACCAAATACAAAGTAACGACAACAAACACGTAGAAAAATTCGTGAGTTCCTCTGGTTCGTCCCGTTGCTTAGTTGGTATAGCGTCTGGCACGGTATGCTAGAAGACGTCGGTTCGAATCCAGCCTGATCGAAGGAATTGTTTCTGAGTGTTCGATCTTTGTATAAATAATTATAACACTTTCTATCTTATTTAAAGTCCGTTAAAAAGAAACCAAATCTAAAAGATATTTAAAAAACAAAAACCCGATAGCAAAAATATTTAGCTGGAAAGAAAAAAGAATTATCCCCCTCACTATTTTGATTATATTTTTATAGCCCATGACACTCCCACAATCAAGACGAATCTAACACACCTCATATCTCAAAATCCATCAACCGTTAAGCTGTAGGGAAACGTAGAAATGGATATACATACATACATAGACTTGAAAAACATAACCCTCCCGCAGTCGCTGACATTACAGGCACATGGGATTTGTTAACTTATGTCTCAGGGTGACGGGCGCAGTGGTAGTGCCCCTCAGATCTTTGGAGTTTAAAGCTCTGAGTGGCACTGTTCGGGACTCCTTTTAGTTTGAACCAGTGTCACTTTTATTTTTTATCCTTCCTTTTTTGTTTCATTGTGTGTTTTCGTTTCTATAAGAGAGTAAATATTTTTTCTTTATTGAAATAAATACATGGCTATTTATACAACCAAGCCCTTTTCTAATGATTTTAATACAACCCAATCATTATGGCAACCGTAGAATAGTTAAAGAAGAACCACAGGATTTGCCGCACGGCTTTTACCATCGCCATTAAAAAATTCATGATTCTCGGGAAACCAAGCCCTGAGTTGGAAGGAAAAAAAACTAAGCACTTTTCTAATGATTTTAAATAATTTTAATACAACCCAATCAGGCACTAACTATTATGGACAGGTGTGTAGCTTACCATCAGGGGCACGACTTGTTCGTCCCGTCACTTGAAGTTATAAAAAAAAGTCGGGTAAATATAATGTCGCATGGTGTATAATAAAAATATATTAGAAAAATAGTATTCTAAATGTGTGTAAACTTTAAATGTTCTACATAGTTACTGTAAAAAGTACCTACCTAGGGTCAGGCTTTGGGGTACTGTGCCCGAGAAGCTATCAACGTTTTCTCTTTTACTGTATTTTATTTATATGTACACGATATAATTGTTCACAGACACCAGCAAAACCTGAAACAACAGAAGAAAAAGATGGCAATCCATCGTATCCGCTTCCCAAGTTGGTATTCAACGACATTTATTCGAACATGTTCAAGCCCACAATGTTGTTCCGGAACAAGAAAGATGGACGGTTGTCAAACTTGCATTTAAATTTGGCTAACTTCGATTTGCAGACACAAAGTACATCGATATCGTCTTCATCAATAACTCCTACAATATCGTCCCAGTATGTATTTTTGAACCATTTAAAGTGCAATAATGATTTAGGAAATGAAAATGTCCCTGATACTCATTGACTTACAAATAAATGGACGACGGGTCCAATACACAAACCACGAAAAAAATGTCTCAAGTCAACCTATTTAAACGTAGTGACATGTAAAGGAATATGAAAAAGCTAAAACGTTGAACTTAACTTGTAATGTCATCGCAGTACTGTCTAATTTTGCTTGCTTCGCTGTCAGTCGAACAAACGAAGACTAAAGCGTGAATGACGCTCTACGATTTTAACGCCTTATAAGTTCGGACACTTTTTAGCGCGGACCCGACGTCCATATAATTGTAAGTCAATGCTGATACTAAATAGCTTTAGCCAGAGAGAATACCATCTAGTCCCACAACTGGCTTACCTTTATTTGGGCATCAAGGGTAGAGAGAAGGAACTATATGCTTTTGGGGTTGAAGTATTAGAATTTACTGCACAACAGGAAAACTCTTCTTATCTGTGTAGTACTGACAATAATAATAGTCGTTTATCTTCTCCCACAAATGTCAATTACTAACTAATTTACAGCAGGAATTAACAAGTTAATGTATGTGAGAGACAGGAGCCTAAACTAGGAAAACCCTGTATCTTAGGACTCCTGGTCTCTAGCTTTTGGTTAGAGTATTCTTTACTTAGGTCTATTTGTCACATAGTATGTGAGTTTGTGCAATAGGGAGTAATTTAAAAAGTTAGTGTTTTCATTTGTGTGTGTCAAAGTCAAAGTCAAAGATTATGTATTCCATAGGTAAAATAAATTTACACTTGAAAACGTCACATTTAAGCTACTGCTCGTTCACTACGCTGAGAAGAACGAGCAAGAAACTCTAGGGATTGCTCTTTTCAAATAAATTTAAATGCTATGGAATACACTTTGAATCAAATTTGTGTGGATTCTGGAGCCATGTCGTCTTTCCATACATCTTTATCTAACACGTAGTCTTCAATTTTGTAATATGATTTTTCGATCAAAATATTTGTGTGTGTGTGTGTGTGTGTGAGCGTGAGAAAGATTGAGTATGTGGGTGTAATTTTTGTATGTATGCCTTGTGTGTGTGTGTATGTGTGCGTGTGTGTGTGCGCGTGCGTGCGTGTGTGCGTGTGTGTGTGTGTGTGTGTTTAGGTGGGCGTAGGTGAGTGGATTAGTGTGTGTGTATGTGAGAGGGAATGAGCGTGAATTATGTGTGTGTGTGTGTGTGTGTGTGTGTGTGTGTGTGCGCGTTTATGATGCTATAGTCAAAAGTTTCTCTGTTTCATCATACGTCTTAGCAAGCAGCCAAGCAGATATGGTATTTTTACATTTCCATCTTACCATATTGTAGACGTTATGTGATTTATTTAAGTAATTATGTAGGCCCTTGAAAGCAAAAAAAACCTGTGTGCAAAGGACGTCCTGAGTGGTTTTGTGTGGCAGACAATGTAATTCCTTCTCTTTTGAGCGTTGGAATGTTCAGTATTGTATTTAATTTCCTCATGTTGTCTTAATAAAGTGGACAGAATATACAATTGTCGAACTGTAAGTACCTTGGCGTCGTGGAAAAGGCTAATCGTGGAGTATAAGCGTGGCATAAAGAGGCCCTCTTCAATTGCAGCATATGAGTTTTTGCAGCTCCTCCCCAAGTCGATATACCATATGATAGAATAGATTGACAAAATGCCAAATAAACCAATTTGAATAATTTAAAATCCATCGCATGTCGAAAATTTTTAAAGACGTAAGTGAGTTTTCGGACTCTTTGTGTGAGGTTTGTAATATGATCTCTGAAGGAAAGGCGGTCATCAATACTAATACCCAGATACTTAATTGTTGCGACTTTTTCAATGAATGGACAAGTGTAGTCACCGGAAATCAGATTGGAACAAGAATGTGCCACAATATGAAAATCCCTAGTTAAGATCAATTGACCACTGGAAACATGAGTTAGGTATTTAGTTTAAGAGTTAGAGAATAAGCAGCAAGCCAGTTTGTAACAGTGTTGAGAATAAGCAGCAAGCCAGTTTGTAACAGTGTTGACACCTTCCTGTACGCACTCAAAGACTTCCTTCCAAGTATCACCGTAAAATGTCAATATTGTGTCGTCTGCATATGATATTATGTGGCAATTTCTCAGTTTTAGTTGACATAATCCGTTTATGTAAGAAATGAAAAGCGTAGGTCCCTTGATGCTTCCTTGAGGAACCCCAAAACTAATATTAGTCTCCTGACTAAGTACAGAATCAATCCTCACCCATTGAGTTGTATCTGTTAGGTAGCTACGAAAAAGAGAAAGTTGAGTGCCTCTTATACCCATCGCTTCAAGTTTGTCCAAAAGAATGGAAAAAGAGACTCGACGCGGTCTCTTAACGCCTTAGCTAAATCCAAGAATAAAGTTAAACATTTCCTTCTGCTGTCCAATTTTTGAATCACAAAGTTAGTGAAGCTGTGCACTGCATCTTCAGATGATTTCCCTGCCCTAAACCCAAATTGTGAATCTGCGAGTAGATGTTTTGACTCTAGATAACTTGTGAGTCTTTTGTTGATAACTTTTTCGAAGACTTTAGAAGTAGCTGTAAGTAATGAGATAGGCCTATAGTTAGTCACACAGTCTCTCTTCCCACTCTTGTGGATCAGTACTACGATGGACTTTTTCAAAGCAGCGGAAAATACACCTTCACTCAGGGATCTGTTTATTAAAAAAGTAAGAGGAGAACCACCAATTCTTTAAGTGTTTTTAGGTTTTAACAGAGATATTGTCCCAGCCAGCTGCACTGTCGGATTTCAAGGACATTATTATTCTCGCTACCTCTTCACAAGTAGTCTCCAAAAGGACAAATGAGTTAGAGGGAGCCAAGTGTGGAGAGCAATTTCGTGAGGGAAGCAAATGTTGAAAGTTGATCTTAGTAGCCAATTCAGAACCAACTGTAGAGAAGAATTTATTTACTTCATTAGCTGATTGAACTTCTGTAGTTCTAATATTTAATGGTGTCAACCTCAAGTACACGCCGAATTTTGGCGCACCATCTAATGGGTGACGATAAAGATCCACTTTTTTGAGATTTTCAAAATGGGGAACGTCCTTTATCCTACATACCAATCCATTTAACTACTGTCCTACTGTTTAGTTTTCCGAGGTGCCTCTCACTATAGTGTAGCCAATACTTTTACGGACGATTAAAGCCGCTAGAATCAAGGTCAGACCATTTTGATTAAAAACAGGACGATTTTGTCCCAAGATATGCTGTCATATATGTGTACAGATCATATTAAAATCCATTTTTCAACTTTCAGATACGAGGGAACTACATTTTTACTAAACGACAAATTGATGACATCTACAGCTACACACACCAGCGAATCAACTAGTACTTTAAAACCCCAGACCCTGGAAAGAGGACTGCTGGATCTGATATTTCCGCCTTCAAGAGTTAGAACCTTTAAAAAAATATTTAATGCAATTCGAAGAATTTTGTCTGGTACTTTTTGAAAGTAAACAAACACGGCTACATTTAAAATAATACAAACTGTCAAATTCTCATTCAATTAAAAAAAAATTAAACGAAGCACATTCAAGTATGACAAATAATTTACATTAATTACTCGACCTCACCATGACTGCGAGCGAAGATTTGAGTGCTGTGTTCTGGTACATAGAAAAATCAAAAAGCTTTACATTGCAAAGATATGTGGGCTACTGCTACTGCGCCCGTCACCCTGAAACAAAGTTGACAAATCTCATATGCCTATAATTTCACCATTACCTTTTTACCCTTCAAATTCGGAACGCGGTAATGCTCACATCATTGCTTGGCGGCAGAAATAATTAAGGTACTCTACTCGAGCAACAAATCTGAAGTCTCCTCGTACAGTATCCAAAGAGCCCACCCATTCTGCCACAAAGGCTTTGTAATCGATGTATGGTTAAATTACAGAAATGTCGGCAGTTTGTATTATGTATAAGTATTATCTAGTAAATTTACTGCGTGTTGGTTTTTTATTATTATCTTTTTTTTAAATTTATTAAGTTTTCTATTATAATTTGTTAAAAATCTTTATTGCAATTTGTAATCATATATTTACAATTTGACAGTGTTATCAAATAAACGGTTGATAAATAAATTCATTTCGAAGTTTTTTTTCGTTAAAGAGCTGTTACAAACTGCGACTATTAGACTTATCGTCTACCTATACCAAACGCGTTACAAACGCGATGCAAACGCAATGCACGTTTTAAATTAATTAACTAATCTATTTATTTAATGTATTTATTAATTTCACTTTTAAATTTACAACTAACAAAATAATAATTACATACATAATTTTTTGTAGGAATGAAGAATTTACAATAATTACTACCGTTAATTTTACTTATAGCCGAGATCATCTCGTAATTTTTTGTTTTTTTTTAACTCACTTACTCCCTAGATCGCGGGTACCATGGATACACACATAGAGTACCAGAAATTACAACCAAACTCGCGAGATACATAAATGTAAGGGAATCGAACCTCTACGTGACAGTCCAGGATGGTAACCATTTGGCCACTGAGGCAGTTACTTCAAGTGAAGGTGATGGTCGATACCTTTATTACTTGCAATAGACAATTAAACATTATCGAGTTCTTAGGTTTTCGCGATTGTTACACATAGGAAATTAAACTATTTTTCCGGATTTAAATCGCGTATATTTGTTTTTTCAAACAAACCGACGTGACCATGGGACCTATAAAGGGCCCGAAACATCGATTTGTTTGAAAAAACAAATATACGCGATTTAAATCCGGAAAAATAATTAAACATTAATCAGAAAAAATCTTAGATGTAATAAAAAAAATGTTTCTTAATAATTATAACTTTTCATAAAAAAATGACCTCAATGTTCGTGGAATTATATCTATTTGCTAAGTTTTATTAAAATCGGTTACCGGAAAGTGCGGAAAATCAATCATCCCTTAGTTTACCACCCTGAGAGTGGAATATTTTTTTCAAATTTGAATGGGACCAATACTAAGGTACCCTCGTTTCAACAAAAAAATAATCATCAAAATCGGTTCACAAGTTCACAAACCGGAGTAATCGCGTAAAATATGTACAAAAAAAATGCAGTTAAATTGTGAACCTCCTCCTTTTTTGAAGTCCATAAAACATGTAAGGAAAAGGTTCCACCATACAGAGTCTCCATCTATTTAGTATCTTTTCTTGTTACATATGTCGTTGCCTTCTCAAGCAAACGGGTTAAAAAAATGTAACATGAACAAGCAGCAGTTTCATTATTGAAAATTACCTTTAAATTAATATCACTACCAAGTGCCAATTTAAACATGGTCCTTTCACAAGCACTAAACCGTACGCGTCAAAAAGGCACCATCACACCAATACCACAAAAAAGTTCTTCGTTCGAAGAAATAGTAGCAGAACTGCGGGGTCTTTTTTATAATACCAAGCAACGGGACGAACAACTCATGCGCAAGGTGGTAAGCGACAAACCTATCCGTAACAGATGAAGTGCCATTCAGAGCTTTAAATCGCAAAGATCTTATGGGCACTGCCATTGCGCCCATCACCCTGAAACATTAATTTGAATTTGATTGACAAATCCCATGTGCCTGTAATGCAGTAATGCTGACATTACTACGTGGCGGCAGAAACAGGTAAGGTGGCATAACTACCCTGGACGAACTCTTTCACAAGGAGTTCTACTACTAGCGAAGTAGTTATTGTCAGCGTAACTGGTGGAACTTCAGGCGGCTCTACAGTCGTCATAAACATTTGTTTCTGGTAAATTGGGACAGGCCAGCCGTAACATCGTATATAATATTATGCACATGTACTTACTGCATAGTACTTCCTTTGAAATCATGTAGTCAAGGGATTTAATTACAAACCTTAACTGGTTGCGCCGAAAATGGTATTTGAATTTACCTCGTGCAATTTAAACAATTACATCTTTGAACCGTATTAGCAATAGTTTAATTTGATCAACATTTTACTTCTTTATTGCAGTCACGCTGTTGGTTTCAAGAGGTATTGTGCTCGCAGCTTACCTACCTCTATTTGTTCCAAACAACCATACTTATTTATTCGTATACAGTTTGTAAGTCAATGTATACAGTCCACAAATCGAAGGAAGGCATCATTTGCATTCCCCGCACGGTTGGCCGGTTTGAGCCACCCGCAACTAAGGGTCGAAATACAAAACTGCAACGCGACGTCGCATCGCAGAAGTCTACGAGTTCGCACGACGCGTCACAAGAATTTGCGAATTACTCCGGCTCGCGCATTCCTGCGATGTTAATCTTCTTTATTTTTTCCTATAGTTTCTCGTCAATGCGGGGAATGCAAATGATGCCTCGTTTGCATTCCCCGCATAGCTGGTTTGTGCTACCCGCAACTAAAGGTCAAAATACAAAACGCTATGCGACGTCGCATCGCAGAAGTCTACGAGCTCGCACGACTTCTTCTTCTTGAGGTGCCATCTCCTGCCGGAGGTCGGCTATCATTAGGGCTATCTGTATTTTAGACACAGCTACACAGACATGGATCTTGTGCTCAGGTTGAACCATGTCCGGAGATTCTTAAGCCACGAAGCACGCCTTCTTCCCGGTGATCGCTTTGCCTGTATCTTCCCTTGCATAATTAGTCGAAGTAGGTCGTATTTATCATTACGCATTATATGTTGGCGTGCTTTAGGGGAGGCTTATGTCCAGCAGTGGATGCATGTAAGCTGATGATGATTATATGACCAAAGTAATGTAGTGTCGTTGGATACTCTATCTGTCCACGATATTTTCAAAATTCTTCTGTAGACCCACGTTTCAAAGGCTTCTAAGAGGTTGCTCTTATTTTGAGTAACAGGACTCTACGCCATACAGAAGAACCGGAAACACGTAGCAACGTGCCAAACGCACCCTGACTCGCACGACGCATCGCAAGAATTTACGAATTTTTCCGCATCGCGCAATCCTGCGATGTTAATCTTCTTTGTGTTTTTTTATATACTTTCTTATCAACATAGGTCGGAGTAATTATGAAAGGAAAATGTTCACACTTGATTATTTTAATACTGTTTATAAAAAAAAATGCTGGACGCGAAAGAGGAGGACGCTGGAAGAGAGAAGTTTCTTTTATCCGGGAATCCGGAATTCGAAAAAGTAGTTTTGTTGCGTTTTCTACTGCATTTTTTGTACGTGGCGCCATTAGAATTACTTTAAAATCCAACTTCGACTTCCTAGGTCAGTAGTTTTCTCCTACGATGCAGTAAAACCATTTCCGGAAATCCGGAATTCGAAACAGTAATTAATTAATAATATTTGGTGGTTTTAGCAGCTCTATGTCGCTCCTTGTAGCTATATCTATACATGTATCTATATATGTGAAACACCTTATCCTCTACCTCCGACCTATGATTATCAACAACAGCAGTGCAATACTCTTTTTATGATACTGAACCTAATTAAATTTTTATTGAATTGATATTCAATTATTTTTTGTGAAATTACTCCACTAGTTTGTTATAATTATTAATACAAAGATCGAACACTCAGAAAAAACACTCAGAAAAAAATCCTTCGATCCGGTTGGATTCGAAACGACGCGCGCGACGTCTTCTTGCATACCGTGCCAGACGCCATACCAACTAAGCCACGGAACGAACCAACGGACCTCACGAATTTTTCTATGTGCTTGCGTCGTGTCTTTGTACTTGGTCTTTCAACGACTTTTTAGTCGTAGCGCCATCTATGAGAAATCTTTAACAGATTTATCACCCAGTTAGTACCTTTACAGCTACCAGTCCTGGCGAGAGATGTCGCTATTCACTGTATTAATTAAATTTTTATTGAATTGATATTCAATTATTTTTTGTGAAATTACTCGACTAGTTTGTTATAATTATTAATACAAAGATCGAACACTCGATGGTCGGTTCGAATCCGACCGGATCGAAGGAATTTTTTCTGAGTGTTCGATCTTTGTATTAATAATTATATTGAATCATTTTTAATCTAGGTAGTGACCTAGATTACAAAATAGGTTCAGTACGGTTGACAATCGTCGAAGGAATGATCACCCGAACAGTGGCAGTGAGACGCTTTGCCGCACGAAATCGCTTCACAGCAATTCGCGTCGAAGTTTTCTGCCTTGCGAATTCGCAATTTTGTGTGTCGACCCTAAAATCACGCCACCATTACAAATTTGTTAATCGCCCACCAGTGGCAAGAGCATCGTTTGAACACTGCACTTGATGGTTGAACAAGCTTGTACACTTGACGCTAGTACACTTGACTAGACGTGATTTCCGCTGATTGCACTAATTACACTCACTGTGCACTTCAGAGCGGGCGCTTTATGTACCACGGAATCGAAGTTTTGGTTTGCTTCCTGCATTCACGGCTGACTATCCTTTCTATACGAGTCAGACGTGACCACGTGACCTATAAATAAATTAAAGCAGTAATGTTAGCATTACTGCGTTCCGGTTTTGAAAGGTAAGGATGTTGATGAAATTACAGGAACATTGGACTTGTCAACTTGTCTCATGTCATTTTTTGCGATTTAAAGCTCTTAACAACACTGCAACTGCTGTGTACAGGCGTATCGTTTACCACCGGGCGCATAATTTGTCCATCCCGTCACTTGGATTCAGTAAAAAAAGTGTAAATAAACAGCTGTGTATGGCACAATTCACGACCATCACATATTATCATTGTAACGTTCATAATAAATAACTGTAAACTGTTCAAAGTCGTCCTTAGCAAACGGCTTGCTGGACAGCCTTTGTTGCCGTTCCGTCAATGTCGCGACAATGTGCGCGGCGCGGTGTGGTATCTATTAGCTAGCGACGCGAGGTGTGGAGAGCGATCTTTCTCGTTACTTTTTTATTCTATAACCACAATACAAAACTATCAATCCTGATATCAATTAAGAATTGAACTCAATAAATCACCGTCAAAATTGTAACGTGCATTCGTGTTAATTGAGACGATATATGTTGAATTGAAATCCCGACTGTATTTCACGTTGAGCCCCTGCGGCACTTAGCGCGAGCGCGAACCTTGTCTCCAATTAATTTTTTGGATTAACGCCAAATGTGCGCAGTGGCAACAAG